TGTGTGTGTGTGTGTGTGTGTGTGTGTGTGTGTGTGTGTGTGTGTGTGTGTGTGTGTGTGTGTGTGTGTGTGTGTGTGTGTGTGTGTGTGTGTCATGTTCGTGGGTGCGTTTCCCGTACCTGCAAACCGCCCAAATATGAGCCGAGGGCTCAAGGGCAGCCAGATCGCCTATAAGCACCATCCGACCTCGCACTTCAGACAAAGCAAGTTATAAAGGACACTAACGACCAACGGGAACGATAGAGTTGCGGTGGCACCACATACATTCCAGCATCCTTGCCAGACGTTCAGGTTCCCACTTCATAGCGTCCTTCGTATGCTCAAAGCGTGGAAAATCCAAATCAGATCTGATTTTGAAGTACACCGGACAGTCCAGCAAAATGTGCTTCTCATATTCAATATGGCTATCAGTGCCGCAGCAGGGGCATACTCGCCCCTCCCTAGGTATATAACGCCGTCCCTTGCACGCTCAGTTCGCCGCCAATGCCAAACAGCAAAACCTAAACTGCATAAGCTTGCGATTCACTGAACGTGGGATAAACGTTGTGACATGCGGGATGCCACACCTTCTGCAATGGCCTGTTAATCAGCCATTCCACTCGTTCGTTTACCTCGTGTAGCCCTTGCGGGGCCTCTTTCCATACGTCGTGCCCCAGAAAACTTAGAAAACGGAGGACTATAGACATTAGCTAATGCCCCGATCAGGGCCCTTCGAGGTTGGAGAGGGACTCTGCGACCTCCTGTCGCAAAACTTGGTGTGCCACAGACCCACGCTGTAAACGGACACGGTCCCAAAATCTCACAACCTGTTTGGAAACGTGGTAGTGTAGGGGTAGCCGTGACAAATCAGCGAACAGGAGGTGGTGCGCTGGTCTGGCAGCTCCCACAACTCTTGCCGCACAAATGGTACCTGATACTTCTCCTTCTGGCCGTTTGCTGTTTGCAACTCAGATCCTTGCAAGTGATATGGGAGAGTGAAATGTACACACGTGATATGGGAGGCAACAGAATCTCATGCTAAATGCAACAGTTGCATTAAATTACTTAAGCATACGGCTCCGACACGACTGATGTATTAAGGACGTGTTCACATGTATACGGATCAGGGTACATTCATGCGAATTGGACTCTGAACCGGAGCCAATTGGGCCTGAAGCGGAATTGGGGTCTGGGAGAGTCTGGGGGGCCCTCTCAGGGCATGATTCGATGAATTTCATTCTCTAGAGAAGGCATTTAACAAACCGTTGCTTATAAATACGTCTACGATAATAAATCAATCATTTCCAGTTGATAAATTACACCAAGCGCACCGAGCATTCTTCGCCAATAGTTGCAGCTACACAGTACAAGGCTGGCGATGACATTGATCAAAAAGTGCATAGTTATAGAGTAATATCCTTTACAATTACTTCAGGCCAGATTAAGGCTGTCATGGGAACATCGCGACTGTGCGACATTTTCTGCCGCAATCGCATGTGAAACACCGGACGTCGCCGGAGCGAATTGGACTTGCAATCATACTCCGAATTACACTATTACATTCAATATACCCTGAGGCGCGGCATAATGGCCCTGAAAGGTTTTTGGGCGGGGCCCCAGCGCGAAGCGCCCAGGGGGGCCCCGACCTGTAGGATTGCCCATGTCCGTGTGTGTGTGTGTGTGTGTGTGTGTGTGTGTGTGTGTGTGTGTGTGTGTGTGTGTGTGTGTGTGTGTGTGTGTGTGTGTGTGTGTGTGTGTGTGTGTGTGTTCGTGTGTGTGTAACGGACCAAACATAATATCTCGCCCGGCTGAAACGCGTTATAGGTACTATACAGCATTCTCTATTGCAAGGTATCTCGCATGTAGCTAACAAAGACCGTATGAGCACAAATAAGTTTAGCTGCCTCCATTCACCGACCTCAAAAGTCACATCAACGCCTCTCGCGCTAAATTTCATCCCGAAAGCTGCCGCGTATCTCATAATGGAATTCTGAGATGACGGCGTATGATAACTCGAATACCCAGCTTGCGTTACCATTTGCCCGCACAGGCATTCCGACATGCCATGGCTGTTGGCCAACAGCAGGCCGACAAATTTGCTTTCATTCCTCTACGAAGTACGCAAGCTGCTCGTTTGTACAATTACTTGGGCCAATGCTCGGGGCCTCCGAAGAGTTGCAGTGTGTCGCGATGAAGCTCGCGGCTGTGGGGCGGAAGCATACCTCCCACAGCATCAGCACTGCTGCGAGAAGCACAGCTCCCACCATGTAGACACAACAATTGTCACACGTGCCGCCCTAGCTACCGGGCTGCACGGATGCAGGGGGCTGTAGCGACTTCCAGCTAGTCATAGAAAACTGAGTCTGACGGCTTTGGTTGCGTATCGTTCCGGGCATAGCAGGAGGTCGAATATTGCCACATCGTTAATTAAAATCTATAAACTCGTCTGGTCTGGGTTGACACTACTGCGATTCGCGGTTTAAGGTCCTGGGTTCGATTCCTGGGGAGACCCCCGAATTAGTCGGGAGCGCGAGATTATGGCTAGCTGCTGAAATGTGGAGTTGAGGTCGCAGTTGATGGACCAGATTCGCACGCTAGATTGGTGGCGATTGCCGAACCCTCCGTCTCTTCGGCTGTTCGGGTGAATGGATGAGGAGGGGTCCTAGACGGCCGCCTTGGACTTACAGTTCGTATGGCGAAGTATAGTGTGGTAGTGGTGGACGGTGCTATAAGATGATACATCGTAGAACTGACAATGTGATAAAGCGGCCCAGAAGCCCCCCACTCTGTAACATTACATAAACGCGTTGAGAATGGTCATGTACATACGGCGCACCGCGTAAAGACCGACGATGTATGTTTCGACCGGGCGACGTANAAGCAGGCGATTTGTGTCTGACGATCTAGCTCCGGTCTGAGAAATGTTCTATGACAAATATCCTGTACTAGTTTCTTCTCAGTTTCCGTTGGCCGCCATGAACCTGGCCAGGAGCTGCGTAAACGGGTAGCTACCGCTGCGTAATGAGCAGTTGCTGCGCGAAAAGGGTAGCTACGTCTTACGTTGACCATACGACAATTGTACGAATGGCGGGCGCGTTTACCATATATAAGGCGCGGCCTGACCAATGTTTTCTGAGGGATATTCCAATCATACAACTCCCGCGCACGGTAGCAGGACGCACCGGCCAAGGCAGTTTGTAACGGAAATCACCTTCACTTGGCGTGGATAACTCCCACCCATTTTATCTTGTCAACAGCCAACCAGGTTCCAACCTGACATCGGGCCTAGTGGCCAAGGAGCAGTAAAACTCTGCTCACATCAGGCTCTCCACCACACCTGGGCCTACGGTCTCAGGACAAAACTCTGATTCTGCTTCCGCTCGCGCACACAAATCTCGATCCGATCCCGCTACAACAATTTACTGGTATCGATTCCTTTCTCTAAACGATCCTGGGCGCCCCGGTGTGTCCATCCAGCGGTTCCCCCAAACGCGAAAATTTTTGGGCTGCCGCTGGGTGCCGCCCGCCGCGGCGCGGCGCTACAGGGCCCCCGCCCTTTTTCCGGCTTCGAGGAAGCCGACACCCGACTTGTCAGGATCGATCCTCGTCAAAGATCGGGACAGGATTACCTAAATCCTTAATCCGCACTGGAAATACACCCTGCGGTATACACTGGAAATACATCCCTGCAGGGATTAAGGTCCCGCTATTCCCGGCTAATCCCCAGGCCATTCCGGAGGCCTGCGATTAGCGCGGGGATTAAGGCCGTACAAAGGGCGATGCACATTTTTTGATGCGATCTCGAAGCTAATATTACCAGCTCTGAATTACTTTGGGCATTAGGCATCGTATGAGTATAAAATATGGGCAGGAAGCGCACTCTTCTCGCCGTTGTGGCCACCGTTGAGGCCTGACATTGAAGTAGCACCTTTCGAGCAAACCAAATCAGATATTGCTTACTTGAGGTCATCCATATGGAATTACCTAGAAATTAAAGTAGGATATAACGCCATGAACGCTAATCCAGATACGGAAAGTTACTAGCTGGGTGTGGCCAGGTAATAACTTTTTGGGTGCATTTCCAGTGCGGATTAAGGCCAGGGATTAGGGCACGGAAGTCCTTGGTACGAGCTTACCACATAGTTTTGTTCCATAAAGGAACCAAAGGTTGAAAAGGCGATGTAAGTTTGCCAACAACTTAGCCGTTTGAGCAAGAATCGATGGAGGACAGAGGGTTAATCCCTGGCCTTAATCCGCACTGGAAATGCACCCTTTGTCACAAGTTGCTAGGTAAATACATGGACATCAAGTTCAGTTTATGTTCTTTCCTAATCTCTTGCTAACTCCTGCTAGTCCTCTGGATAGAGAACACGGTGTCCTGAGGAGTTCCTTAATCCCCGGCTAATCCTGCTTAATCCCGGTGGGATTTCCACTGCTGGGATTAGCACAGGGATTAACGCGAATCCCTGGCCTTAATCCGCACTTGAAATACACGTTTAGAGGCCCTAGGATGGATAATCTAACATGTCTATGAACGGTCTTGGACCCTGTTACCCCCTGACCTGCGAGCCAACCAGGAGTGTATGTGTAACAGCCATCCCTAGGCTTTTCTGCGGAAGTGTTGGGTTGCAAGGCCGTGGGAGGAGAGTTAACGAGTATGGTTTCGTAACTACTGTAGACTGTACCGTTGCTGTGATTAAGCTTTAATAGCTTCAAGATATTCCAAGGTAAATGTAGCTTGCTACAGGATGTAGTTGATGCTGCCAAGGGCATGACTAGGAAGGGTTTTAGGGTTTCGGAGGTCCCTTCCGACTGTTCAACCTGCATGCCATTGAACGCTGTTCGTGCTGTGTTTCACCATAAGCGACAATGTAGTAGCTGTTGTACTGTACGGCTCGCACATCGTCTATTTTGATACGCGTTGAGGTGCTTTTTCAGCATCATTGTGTGAGAGGCTTGTTCGGCGGCCGGCTCTACTAGAGACGTTCTCGCCTAGTAAGAAAACAGACATATACAAATACACGCGCTCGCGTACGCGAACAAAACGCTCCGAAGCCCCTGGCAGAAGCTCTATTACGTCCATCACATGTGTACGGCATATGGCTGTCACCTCCATGCATGCCCAGGGGCCAAAAGTCCAGCGTCAAATTTAGTTCGTAAATTTTTATATAATATGATTCGCTCCGAAATCCCTTTCCTACTTCCAGTCAGTCTATTTCCCATTCTAACAAGCGAAGCTATTAAACGCAGGTTTCGACGCCTCAAGGGCATGCAAGCCAAGTTAGGCAACAGTTAATTAAATCTGACCGTGGACCCGCAATCCGACGAATTATCAGCAGTCACATACATATGACATGTCAAGGCAGCTAATTTCGTTATGTCGATTGGTCCACCATGACATCCGAAGTGGTGGACTGTTTGACTGTTGACCGCTGCAGCTGAAGTCTCAATCATTAGAGGTCGGTTGAATTAGTATATGAATATCCGATAAAATGGACGGACAAACTAACACAAAGGCAAGAGGCCGACGGAAAGACGTCCCTTAGGGGTAAGGATGTGGGGCGGTGGTAAGGACTAAGAAGGGGACGGATCCGCAGTCCGGAGGTAGGCGTTTGCGCCTCGGGTCCAATACTGGCAATACGAGCAATACTGTGACAGTACGACTAATTGTACGACTCAGACTACCATTACTAGTACTAGGATTCGTATTGGTTCCTCTGTTCCCCCATCCTCACGGCCTCTTTAACCCCACTCTCATTTTATATCATACCATATCATACCATATCATACCATACGATACCACAGCAGCACAGCACAACACAACACACCACCATTCCGCCCCAAATCTTAATTGCTCCGTTGAACTTTCCCTGAATTCTATTAGGTATTCAGGTCTGGTACCGGACGAATACCAGACGAATTCACCGCATTCACCATTCGGAAGTTAGGGAGCCATCTCCGCCTTCATAAACCCCTGCCGTGCTGTTAGCCAGCTCCTCATACTAGCTGCTAAGGCCATCCCTCCTGCCAATAGCCAATCAGTTAATTATTTAATCGGTTAGTTAGTCAGTTGCCTACCTAGCTGGCTAGCGGTCTGACATTTCGCCTAAGTTGCGGACTACTCAGCGCACAGACACATACAGACAGACGTACGCACATACAAACACAGAAGTGCACAACAACTGCATAACGTAGTGTAACTGTAACCGAAACACAAGTGCATCACGGCACTTTGGTAAACAGTACAAACATACATACAGTGCATCGTGGTGCAATGGCATCAACGAAATGTCCTTTCTAAGCACATCCCCCGTACGCGCACTTAACATTAGCATGCTCCTCGCTCTCCTCACTGCGTGCTTTGCCACCGCGCAGCCGGGTGGTAGTTGGTAATCGCGGGTAGTAGTGGGTGGTCGTGTGCAACAGCTAGCTGCTAATGTTACATAATGTTATCGTTCCTGTTTAATGGTACGCATGACCGCCGCCAAAGCCGCCTCTGCTGCTGTAGTATTGGCAGGTGTCCTTGTCCTCGTCATCGCCGTCGCCGCTGTCGCTACTGTCGCTGCCGCCGCCAGCACGTACGGATGCCGCTAGCTCATAGGCCTCGGCCACTGCCGCCTGGACGCTACCGCGCCGCCGCCGCTGCTGCTGCTGCTGCTGCTGATGATGATGATGATGATGATGATGATGTTGTTGGTGATGCCGTTCCTGCCGGTTATTCTGCCGCTGTCCCCCAATAGACGCATCCTGTACCACAAGTGCTCCCCCTGGCTCCAGTTCACCTAAAGAGCCGCAAGCCAATTGCGGCATCGCGGCCGTCGCCGCCGCCGTAAGTTCCGGGCTGACAGCCACGTCTCGTCTGACGCCACCGCTGCTGCTTGTGGCACCAGCACTGACGCTACCGCCACCGCCGCCGCCGCCGCCATCGCTTTCGTTGCCGATGCTGTGCGTGCTGCGCATGCTCCAGACCCTACTCACCAGCTCTCGTGCCGATCGTGCCAGCTCCGGAACCAACCGCCGTCCGCTTGCCGTTGCTGTGGTCGGCTCTCCGCTGGCGCTGCCGCCACCGCAGTCCGTCGCTGCTGCGGCAGCGGCAGTAGCGGCAACGACGACGGTGCCGCGCTCCAGCCTGTCGTCACCGCTACTGCCGCGATCGCAGTACAAGTCAACAGTGGCGGAGCCGCTGCTGCGCATTACGCCGGAGGCGGCGTTGACGCTGCCGCGGCGTTGGCTGCCAAAGACCTGACGGGAGCCGCCAGAGAGGTGGCGGCGGCCGCCATTGCATGTCGTACTGTTTGCGCGGCCGATTAGCCCGTTGAGCCCCCGTACAAGCCGCCCCAGGCCACTCACGGCCCCGCCGGGCTCAAGGTCGTGAGCAGCAGACGTATTAGAGCGTTGCACTTGGCCGAAGGCTGCGCCGCTGCCACTGCCGTTGCCGTTGCCGATGCCACTGTCGTCGCCCGCGGTAGCTGCTGCCGCGGTGACGGCAGCGAAGTGCGCGAGAGGACGAGGTGAATGCATTACAGGCTGGGAGCGCCTTTGCTGAGAATTAGAACCGCCCACATCATGGCTGCCACCCTTGAAGCTGCTAGATAGCTGCCGAAATTGCGAGTACGGCCGGCTGCCGACATCCGTACGGAGATTAGTTTCTCCTCCGCCGCCGCCATTCCCACCGCCGCTACCGCTACCTACGCCAGCTAAAAGATTCGTACTGCGGCGGCTCCGGCGACGACGCGGAGCGCTGGGTACGGCAGCGGCCAATGATAGCGGCGGCGGCGGCGACGGCGGCGACGCCTTGGCAGCGGCTGCAAGCTGGCCACTGTAAACATCGTGGTGCAGCAAATCGGCAAACTCGTACACGTCGTACATGGCATCCGGCTCCACGGCATCGCCAGCGCCACCATCGCAGGATTGATCCGCTAGCATGGTGCTGCTGCCGCCGCAACCGTACGTCTCCGACTCCGCGGGCAGTTGCCATCCGCTGTCGGCGTACGACGACCTGGCGTTGAGGAACAGCACGTTCCCACTCACCTCGATTACGGACCGCCGCCGCTGGCTCCGCTGTCCCGTCGGCGGCGCCGCCGCAGCCGCGTTCGCAGGACTTCCAAGGCCGCCGCCATCAGCGCCGCCACCGTCGACAGACTCGTCCATTAAGTAGTGAGACACGGCCCGCCGCCGGCCTGCGCATACCGCTGCGGCGGCGCCTGCTGCGGTGGCGGCGCCGCTACTGCTCAAGACAGCTGGCGACGCCGCGGGTAGGGTTTTTTTAGGGGAGTTCGGACACAACGTACCGGCAGTAGCAGCAGTAGCAGCAACTGCAGTAGCTGCTGCCGCTGCCTGGTGTGGTGATGCCAAGCCAAGGAAATTATGCAAGGATGAGAACAAACCGACCCAGCTACTGCCGCCGCCGCTGCCAACACCGCCGCCTCCGCCAACAAGCGCACCGACGGCGTGAGTATCTGCTGGGTTGGCGACGACGCCAGCATTGACAACCGTCTGCTGATGCATCCGAGCACTACTGCCGCCGTACACGCCATAATTGCTGATGCCGCTGTCGCCGCCGCCGTCACCGTCACCGGTGTATATGGACATATGCGGCTCTAACGGTGGAGTGGAACCGTCGCAGCGGGGTGATGGGGGCGTGGCTTCGAGAGCCGACGTCAAAGGATTGCCGTATCGGCTGGCGGCGGAAACGGGTGGCGAAGCCACCCCTCCCTGGCCCTCCTGTCCTGCGGATGTTGAACGATGCTCCTGTCCATTTACACTTTTTCCAGCCGCCTCCGTCGCGGCACCGAAACCTAGACCGGTGGCGGAACGGCCCAGCCGTACCGGCTGGAACGACGGCGGTGGCGGCGGCCCTGATAACGACGCTGTCCCCGATGGCGAAACTGCCGACGTGGTGGCGGTCGGGCTTGGGAATACGTGACCGTACAAACCGTCCGACGGGCGGATCTGTAAGACTTCATGTATGGCAGTGTGAACGGTAGCACTGGATTCCTTGGATGAGTTTCGCCGCAGTGAATCGACGCGCGACAGGTGCGTTGCTGTGGTCTGAGTTGGCGGCGACATCGCCGCCGCCGCCGCCGCTGCCGTCGGCATGTGCACCGCCGTGCCACCGTTGCGGCTGTCGTCCATGACGGCGAGTTGTGCCGAAGCCGGTTGCAGCGGCGGCGGCGGTGGCGGCGACACGCTGCCGTCACCGCTGCCTTGCTTGCCGTCGCCTATGCTGCTTCCGCCACCACCCCGAGCCCTTAGAAACGAGACCGACCGCTGCGCACCGCCGTCAAGTGCAACACCAGCGGGCGACACCGTTCCAGCCACCGTACTGCCACTGTACGGCCGTACGACATCTTCTCCGGGTGCAATGACTGCCGCCGCCGACGCTGCCGCTGCCGTGGGTGAAAGCTTCCTGGACACAGCGCGCTGCAGGAACGACGACGTGAAGGAAGCCAGACGAAACGGCAGGGAGGGTACCGTACCGATGGCGGAGGCGCTGCCGCCGCCACCACGTAGCGGCGAAACATGGAAGGACCGGGTTTCGGAGCCGCGGCGTAAGGTGGAAGCCCAGCCAGGTGCGGTCGCCTCCGTCTCCGCCTCTGCCGTGAAGCTGCCAGCGGTGCTAATCTTAACCGTATCATCCCCGGTGCCCGCCGCCTCGGCCCCCTCCAGCTCACTCTCCTCTTCCTCCCCTGCAGGCAACACGTACGACATTCAGGTCATAGCAGCGAGAACTGTACGGCACTCAGGTCATAGCAGCGCGAAACGTAACAACGTCTAGCAACTCTTCAGCGGCGTCCGGGCTTCGAACCTGGGGCTTAACAAACAAGCTTTTTTAAAAGAAAACGTGCCTCGTCAGAGATTTAGGCCTCCCCCGAAAAACTGCCTTCCACCCTCCATACCACCCCATACCTGGCCATCACGACCCACCGTCTGCTTCCTGAATGCCGTACGTGGTGGCTTCACCACCGGTGCCGACACCCCCGACGCGGAATATACGTGCGCCCTCGCCGCTGTTCGATCGGGGTCTTCCGTACAACTGCGGGGGCCCTCGCTGCTTTGGCGACATCGATTGCGCCGCTGCCGCCGCCTCCCCCGGCGTCGATGCTGATGATGACGTCATCGGCAATGTGGACAGTAACGTAACGGGTGAGGTGGGTGGCAGTGCCGTACCCATGCCGCCAACGCCACTGCCGCCACCGCCGCCGCCGCCACCGCCGCTGCTGGCAGAAGATTTCAGAAATCGCGAGACGGGCATTTGTCGCCGCATTGTCATGGAGGCAAGGCTCATTTCCGCAACCAGGCTGTTGCCACCTAGACGGCTACTGGCGCGCGCGAAGACGCCGCTGCCGCCAGCGGCCGTAGCGTCACCGCTGCCAGTGCCGCCGCCGCCGCCGCCAGCAACGGTGCGAGAGGCCTGGCCGGCGACACTCACGAGATGTAACGGTGACGGGTTGCAACTGCTGCTTCGCTCCGTTGTAGTGTACGACAGGCCGCCGCCGCTGCCGTCACGTAGACGCGGCCGTGATAGCGATGGGAAAAACGCTGAGGTGGCAGATGACGTGGGTCGGAAGCGCGACTCGTCGTCTTCCTCCAGCTCGTCAAAACGGCTTAATGCCTCGCCGCCACCGCGACCTCTGAGGTTAATCCCGCCGCCACCACGTACGACGGCTAGGCCGCGTAGACGATTGAACAGACGGGCACCGCCGGCGCCCGCAGCCGCCGTCACGGCTGCTGCGGAGGACTTCACCAGCTCGCTCGCACGCCGCGGCGGCGGCCGGCGAAGCTTCGTGGCCTCCACGCCGCCGCTGACGCCAGCGCCAGTGCCACCGTCGCCGTCACTGGATCGATCGCTGCCGTAGCCTCCGGCGGTGGAGGCGCTGGCAAGGCCACCGCCGTCCGGCTCCTCCAGGATTGACCTCTTGACGACACGAAACGCCTTTTTAAAGTTTGCCGCCGCCGCCATGGCAAGATGGCCTCCTCTTGCTGTGCCACCACTGCCGCCGCCGGCAGCGGCAGCGGTTGCAGCTGCGGAGAGGACAGCGGCTCCAGCGGCATTGCCTTGGCCCGCTCCGCCGCTGGCGGCGCTGGACAGCCCCGCTGTTGTCGTACTGCCAGCGGGTCGCTGGCGGCGGAGCATTCCATGTAATGCTGCCACACCGCCAGAAGTGCCATTGACAACAACACGAACTCGGTCAGGTTCTGCAGCGCTGCCGCCGTCGCTGCCGCTGCCGGGCCCCCCGTCGCCGCTGTCGACGCCACTGCCGTCGGAGCTGTAGCCCGCGACCAGCCGATCCGCCATGTCGTCATCTTCATCCTGCGCCGCCAGCACAGCCGCCTGTACGGCACCACTACCGCCACGGATACCGCCGCCGCTGCCGTGGACACAGCGGTTAAGCCTCAGCTGGCTCGCATGCCGCATGCGAGCTACCGCAAGTGCTGCCGCCATATTTGCAGATGCATTTGTCGTACCTTTCGGGCTTAGAAGCGTTGCCGTTGCTGAGCTGCCAGCGTAGCGACTGAATTCCTTAACATTCGGAGGACTGGCTCCTTGACTTAAGCGTGCTATTCCTCCAGTGCTGCCTCGCTCGAGCGTCATCTTGGCTGCAGCCGCCGCCGCCGCTGCCGCCGTCGTCGCCTTCATCGCCGCCGTCCCTGCCGTCACCGCCGCCGCCGTCACCGCGGCGGTCCCAGACACAACTGGGCCCTTCATGCCCTCCGCCGCCGCCATTGACGGCGCCGCCGCCGCCGCATTAATTGCTGCCGCTGCTGCTATTGCCACCGTAGGCTGTAGCATCTCACCTTTAGATACATATGGAACGGATTCGGCAGCGGCGGTAACAACGGCGGCAGCAGGAGCGACGCTGCCGGCCGTCGCTGACTCCACTGCCGCAGCGGCGGCGACGACGGCAGCAGAGCTCTCTCCGGCGGCAGCACCCGGACCGATCCTGATGCTGCCCCCGCCACTACCGCCAGCACATTCTTTGCCGCTGCCGTCGGAGTCGTACTCCGACAGAGCTGGTACGGCCGACGCAAGGCTCCCTGGATATGCCCCGGTGGGTGTTGATCCGCCGCCGTCCAGAGGGCACGGCGCTGCCGTCGCCGTTGCCGTGCCTGGGTAATTTCCGCCACCGGAAGGAACTGTCCGGACGGCACAGTTCGGCGCCATCCCTGGCTTCGGCGGGATGGCGTCGGCGCCATCCCTGGCTTCGACGTCGACGTCGGCACCGTTGTCCTCTGCATCCTCGTCCTGCTCCTGCTGCTGGTGCTGCTGCTCCTGCATACCTGGCTTTTGATGGAACTGGAAGGGCGCAGTGCCGATGGGCCCTATGCTATTTTCCAATACGACATCTTCATGAGCCACAGGAATGACTTCGGAGCGCAGGATGCGGCTGAGGGGCGCCAGGAAGGCAAGAACCGCCGGGCAGGACAAGTCGGTTAGTTAAGTGTTTGGGAAATAGGGTTTTAGGGGTTTAGGGGTTTAGCTGTGAAAGCAGAGGAATGTGGGATGTGGACGACGGAGGCGAAGGGACGGGCTGAAATGAAGGAGATCAATGTCGGCCAAGGTACGAACAAGTCTGCATTACGTAACGGCATACGGTCGACATCTGTGCACGTACATCTGTGCACGTACATCTGTGCGTTACCCTCCGAAGGCATAACTTGCATTTGCAGCACGACGCCGTATCCATACACTTATGCATACGTGCATATGTACGTATGTGTGCACGTCCATATGTACGTACGTATGTATGTACGTGCATATGTACCTATGTATGTACATGCATATGTGCGTATTTATGTACGTACATGCAACTGATGATTTCCATCTTCGTGGACAGCCCCTTGAGTTGCACGTCGCCAAGGCTCGCCCCCACTGCCAGTGCCTGTTGACAAAGGTCGGGAGCCGCCGCCAGGCCGCTGCTGTCCCACAGCCCTCGAGAACATAGCACCTGCCGCGGTGGGGGAAGAGAATGGCAGTGTGGATAATGATGTACATCATTTATTATAATGTAAGGTGGGATGTAAACACAGTGAAATGATGTAATATAATTAGCGTGCGTGTTACACCACCTTCTGGAGCTGTTGCTGTAGCAGTCGCTCACCAGTCTTTTCAGCGGCCAGCTACTACAGTTGCGTTGACGTGTTGACGCGTTATACAAGTGCCGCACACAAGTGCGGGGGGGTCTGTTAAAGCCGAGAGGCCATGGACTATATATATTTGAAAGTGAATTCCACCATACAACCGACGGTTGTGGTTGTTTGGTCCTGCTACCTAGACCCCGCCTCATCAAGTCACCCGACATCCGTAGAGACAGATCAGCCAACATCACCAACTCAGCATGCGAAACTTAGTCCATCATCAACTAGACCTCATCTCCACGCCTCAGGCGATTAGTAAATGTAATCCTCCCGATTTATGTCGGGGGTCTGCCAAGGAATTGAACCCAGAACCTTCACTAACTCAAAGGTGTCACCCAACACGAGGAGGCTGCCAAACCTCTGTGCTATAATAGTAATGCCTTACCCCTGGGGGAATAAGTATATGCCTTACATGTAATGCCTGACTTAAACTGTATGTATATATGTATGTATATATATTGTATGTATATTATTAATAACTTGTCACTAAGCCATGGATCCGGTCATGTATATAATATACAGGTATGTATATATGTATATATGGCATAGGTGTGAGCGCGGTGGGACAGTAGCCCTCTCAACAAACTGCAGCCAACACTAACAGCTGTCAATTATAACGGAACTCAACAGCTATTACCTGTACCGCAACTGCACGACAATTGCACCCACCCAACCGTACCTCGCACGCTCACACGTGGCCCAACACAAATACGCGCTAAAGCGCATTCACAGCGTCTCGGGAGGCCTTTGTACTACAGCGGCCAGCTACTACATGCAGCCACTGCAGCTCACCTGACCTCCGGTGGCCATGCCAGCAATACGTGCCGCGCGATTCATGACCCGACCCCGGTACGTCATCCGCCCTGTGGTCGCATGTACTCTTGCCAACACATCACCGCAGTCTAGGCCGCTCTTGATGCGGAGGCCCCTGTGCACACACACACACACACGCGGGTGGTTGGTAGAGGGTGGTGTATATTTATTGGACTACGCTGGCAAGAGCCGTAGCTGAGTGATGGTGATGGTTATGGTGATGATGGTGGTAATGGTGGTGATGGTGGTGATAAGTGGCATTGATGGAAGACTGTAGTGCTTGTATAATCGCCCTAATAAGGGAAGTTGCAAATAATGGGGGATATCATGGACACAACATTAAATCACAGAATGCATACAGTGCTGCTGCACAGTGCGCCGTGCTGTTCTCTTTACCAAAAATGCTCTCTTTACCAAGAAATGTTTCCCTAGGAGCTACTTACTCAGCATCTGCAATTACCACAACACTGATCGCTGAGTGTCACCATTTCCTTAGTTATTTCATATTCTGAAGTTTACAGACGATGTGTCAATGTGTCAACCATCCGGCCACTCACCGAAAAACCAAATGCCGTCGAGGATAAGGTGCAGCGGCAGCAGCAGCAGCGGTGGAACCATCGCCGCCGTCGCCACCATTGACATGGGGCACTGGGGGTGCCGGCGGTAGCCCCACGGGCAATATATCGTTGCCACTCTCCCTGTCCCCGTCCTCTTCCTCCTCCTCTTTTCCTTCCATGTCCAGGTCATCCATGTACAGCTCCTTGCCCAGATCATGGCCGAGCAACTCCTTCGGCCTGTTTAGGCAATTGGTCGGCAACTTTTTTCTTAAAGTTGCACAGCTGGTAAGAAATGCGGCTCAAGGAGCTGCATGAGGACTCCCGGCGGGAAGAAACCCCTTAGGGTGTTGGCATGATGCCAATCACTACCTTGGTTTCGACGTCCAAGGCGAACTATTACATTATTTTAAGATGTTGCCAAACAAGCTACCTTTAAATTTGAAACGAAGTTATACTATTTGATGTCACTTTTTTCATAAATTAAATAAAAATTAATAATATTATTCTTTATTTTTCTACTATTTAACTATCAACAATATTATTTTAGTTTGTAATTTCATGCAATAAAAGTCTTGTGCCGTTCCTTCCCCCCAGATCAATGTCGGTAGTAAAGTAAAGGCACAAAAGCAGCTGCGTCTCGTGGCTGCGTAGGACTTCCTTCGCAGCTCGCCGCTTTGGTCGTCGTCGGCAGTTGTACTCCCCTTGATATTACACGTCCCCTCCACCGCACCTGGACTTCCCGCCCCTTACCCTTGGACCCCCAAACCAAGACTTGCTTCTTCCCCATCTGAACTCCCTCCCCATCCGAACGGTTTCATTCAGGGCCCTCACGCCCTGACGCACCAGTCGAGGTGCTTGGCCTCTTCCTGACACTCAAGAGCCCAGGCCAGGCCCGACCGGCTGCTGGAGAAGGCCGTCAGCAACAAACCATCCGCGTCCTCTACCTGAGGATGGGTTAGGAAAGGGAAGAAGGGGGAAAAGGAATCATAATTAGTAGATGGAAAAGATATATAAGTAACTGCACCCATTGGCAATGTGCAAAGTGTAAAAAGCGATAATGTCGAAGGAGGAAAGTAAGCAGAGCAAGCAGATCAACGGTAAAAACAACTGCCCCGACGCCCAAAGCACGAACTGCCGTGTACGTTACGAATTTGGGATTAGGACCGCCTGCTCTCCCTGCACAGGGGGATTGGGAAACCTCATGCAATCAACTCAGAAATGAGCTGCCGGCGATCAAAGTCCGGAACTATCACACGGGTTGGGGAGAGGGGGCGTAGCGACGGCGACTGGGGACGCGGGGTGGGGACAGGGAAGAGGGAGAGGGGGCCTTCGTGGGTTGCGTTTGAAATACGGCAAAACCCCACGCCCTACTCCCAGACCTGTGTTTTGTCACCACGGGAAAGGGGCCGGGAGATTCCGGAGTCCGGAAATGGGTCCGGGGGAACAAAACCCAAGGCTGGTGGTTGACCCAAGTTCCACCACCGTACACCGTACGCCGTGCACCCCAGCTGCCCCACAACCTAAATGCCGTACGCCGTACACCCACCAGATATCCACCGTGGCTGAGCAGGGCCGGCAGCACTGCATCCCGCAGCACGGCCAGCGCCGCCTTGGCTACTTCCGTGTTCCAGGCCAGCAGGGTCTGCATCCCGACCACCAAAGAAAAGCAGATGGAGGCTGTGTTGACGGGAGCGGAGGGCAAACCCAAGCTCAGCTGCTCAGCGCACGCCAGGGGTCGCAGGTATGCCACCCTGGCAAGGTGTGCGAAGTCCAGCGCGAGGTAGAGGTCCAGTGGGCGCCGTACACCGGCCAGCACGTATTCGCCCATGTGCAGGATCTTTTTTGTTGGGAGGGAAGGGGTAGGGGGGATGGGGAAGGGGTAGGGGGGATGGGGAAGGGGTAGGGGGGATGGGGAAGGGGTAGGGGGGATGGGGAAGGGGCAGGGGGGATGGGGAAGGGGAAGGGAGAGGGACGACAGTTAAAGGGTGAGGGGTATGGGCGAGGGAAGAGGCGGAAAAGACATGATACACGCAACCACATACACGCTGATTCACTTGCGCTTTGTTCCTCAGCTGTATTCGCGTCAGCATAAGCGATGGCAAAAGCGAAACACACACGCACGCATGCGTACACATGCACACACGGACATGAATGGATTCATTCATTCATTCATTCGTGGTTGGATGCACTTGCACACGTGCGCGGGTTCGGTAGGGTGGTTGCAGGAATGCTCGTTGTACCTACCATGCATTGTTCTTGTAGGGCCTCCTGCGATGACGCACTGTACGTCGCCCCATCTAGCAGTACAAACCCGCCCTGTCCGCTCTCGCAGATTGCCAGTGCGCGGCGCAGCGGCGCCGGCATCCGCCGCCGTCGCAAGTACTTCCGTGCTTCGGGCGACATGATCGTCGTACGCCGCCGTACAACACCGACACGAGCGTCATCAGGAGCCCCGCCGCCACCGTCGTCGGCGCCGCTACCAAGGCCCCCGACGCTCGTGGCGGGTGCGCCTTCTGGGTTTGGAACATCGTCGTCAACATGGTCGCTAGTGATGTCCGTACCGCCACCATACGACGGCGTCAACGCAGGGAGCACGCCGTTAGCGGTTTTGTAGAAGAGTGGGTTAGACTGAGTCGCGTAGAGATGCTGATCACCTGCGTCGTCCGGTGATGCCGCCACCCCGAAGGTGACGGCAGCGGAGGCGGTGGTGGCGGAGGCGGCGGCTCCGGCTGTAGCGGCAGCGTCACCGTCAGCATCGGCTCCACCGCTACTGTCCGCCGCCGCCACCGGATCGTCCATCACGTCGAGTGCCATAACCTCTGCAAGGGACTCCAGTCTTTCCGCAACGCCTCGCGCATGCGCCGCCGCCGTTTCCGTCGCTGATGTCAGCATCATCTCGCCTCTGCAGGTTAAGCCTCCGCCAAGTCTGCCCAACATGGCCAATTCGTCATCCCCCGTCAACGGCAAGTCCTCCTCACCGCTGTCTATAGCGGTCCGTCGCCTGCCGTACATATCCGTACATTCCTCGTCGCCGTACTGCCAAGTACTGATACCGCACACGACACGTGGACCGCGGAAGATGACCGTGACGCCGTCCTCCAAATTACTTCGCTCTACGCCCATAAGCTCCTCGAAGGTCAGTCGCACCTGCAGTCGTACACGTTGCCGTACATATGTAGTACATTGGGTACAGGAGACATTCCGCCATCACGGACAAATTGTTAATTATTCAGCGACAAAACGCATAACCAAAAGAACTGGGGTTTTGGATTATTCTTAGCTTATGAAGAACCTATTGATTTATACTATTTACCAGTATAGCAAAAAGGTGATTGAAGTACACGGCGGAGCGGATCTGATGGGGGATCTGATCTCATAACCCAAGCTGCCAAGCTGCTAAGCTCCTACCTTACTCGATTCGACACAGTCGGAAAAAAAGAAGTCTGGAACCCAGATCCAAATGCGTCCCCTAAGCCTCAATGCCCGAATCCAGATTCAAATCATGACCACACAACCCGAAGCCAAAATCCAGATCCAATCCTAGGCCATAAAATCCTAAATCCAGCAATACAAATGCCATGATGTCATTTTTTCATTGAGCTTCCCCTCACCTGCTCTCCGAAGCTACGGACGCTCCGGCGCGACGGCGGCGGCGCCGCCGGCGGCAATGGCGGAGGCGCCACTGCCGCCACTACCACATGCGACGGTTGGCCGCCGCCACTACCAAGGCTGTTGGCGTTGGTACCGTCGTACACCGGGTTCCGCAGACCATGACCGCCTCCGCCCCCGCTAACTACTGGCGCAGTGTCGTACATCGTATCCTGCACGGCGCCCACCATGCGCTGCAGCATGCGCAGTCGTACGGATTTTGGGCTACCGGTCGAACACGCCGGTGTGATTTCCGAGTTCTCCAGCTGTAGCTTCGTCAAAGGTACAGACGCAAAGGGCATCCCGTCGCCCATTCTTGGCGTCTGTTGCTGTGGCGGCGGCGGCGGCGGCGGCGATGGCGGCAGCGGCGGCGACAATGCTTCCCTCAATAGCGGAGATGACGGGTGTGAGACAGCCACCCGCCCGCCTCCGCTACCACCTCTGCCTCCGCCGCATCTGCTGCTGCCTCCGCCGTCGTTGCCGATACCTACGGAAGGCCCCAGCCCCGTCGCGCTCCCGTCGCCAGCCTCCAACACCGCCGTTGCTGCTCGCCTGGTTACATCCCTGCTTGTACGGCAATCACCGCTTAAGCTTGTCGCTGTCAGTGCCGATCCTATGGTCGAAGCAGGGTTCAGGTTGTTCGTACTGGAAGATATTTCTTCCTTACATTCTGCCACCGGACGGCCGTACCAGGGTTGTGGTGGGTGGATCCAGGCGCCGTGCGATCCCACAACCATCTCCTCCGCCATCTCCGCCAGGGATGGCGCTGGCGGGGGCGCTGGCGGCGGCGGCGGCAGCGGCAACACTTCCGCCGTGGGCACTTTCCGAAACCCAGCCGCTAAGCTGAGAGACAGCTCCCCCACGTCGCATCCGCCGCCAGCATTGACGTCTGACACTACCGTCGCCGCCGCCGCGAACGGCGGCACAGATAACAGCGGCGGCGCATCGATGTCAGTGTTGAGCTTCAGCGTTGCCGGTGCGCCGTACAACGGGTAAGTCCTACCGATCTCGCATGTTACCGGGGTTGCAGCACTCCTCAACGAGGACGTGTCGGGCGGTGACTTCCAAGATGGCGGCATGGCTGCATGCGCATCCACCTGCTCCGGCGTTGGCATCGCCTGTTGCATGTTCCGTACCGCCGGAATGATGAACAACTGCGGCATCGGTGGCATCGGGGCGGCGGGCGAGGTGGCGGAGCCATCACCATACGAAGAATGCCGGCGGGCCTGGAAACCTCCTGTCGGCGACGTCCCCGCTGCTTTGTCGTACACATTGTCGTACGTAACGCCAGGAAGTTGTGCCGGTGACGCGGCTTGAACTGGGTAGCAGTTGGCCCCACCATCACCACCACCTCCACCACTGCCGACCTGTGCCGCCACCACTCTGTCACTGACGTCGCCGGTGGTACCAGTGCCGCCGTACGCCGTCATCATCGCCGCGGCGCCGCCGTCGACGTCTTTTCCTTCTGCAGTAGACGCAATCGTGAAGTACGGTGGCGGTGACGGGACATGTTGAAGTCCCGCTGCCTCACCGTCGGTATCGTAGTCCAAGCTGCCGAGAATGATACCCATGGCGGTGTCGCGATCTGAGCAGCCGCCTATCCGACCAGGTAGTCCGGAATCGCCACTTTCCAGTGCAGCCGCTGCTCCGGTAATGGCGCCGCCGCCGCCGCCGCCAGCAGCAACGGCTGCAGCGGCGGCTGTTATGGTGCCGCCGCCGATGCCACTGACGCCGCCAATGCCAGGCGGGGAAGTAAGCACGGAGCTCGCGCGGGCCCCGCCACCCGTCGCCATCGGGGGTGCCGTAGTCGCTACATCTGGTACGACACATCCTGAGCGCTGTATGGCAGCTGTACGGCCGCACCCATGTGGCATCGGGAATCTCATGGCAGTAGTGCTTGTGGCGGTACAGAGGCTGGCTTGTTCAGGAAATGATGGCGAGAACTGTACGGTATTTAGCTTTGGAAGCGGTTGGGATACGGCACCCATGTGCGGCACTCTTGCCAGGGAGCTGCCGTACGCTGGGCTGACGCCACCACCGCCACCACCGCCGCCGCCGCCACCGCTGCGAGAAACCCTGCCGAGCGCCGAGCGCGGTGGTTGGATATGGGATCCCGGGCAGAAGTCACCGCCGCCGCCGTACTGCAAGCCCGAGGTCATCATTGCCGTGCCTCCCGGCACAGCTGCCGTATATCTGCCGCCGCCGCTGCCGCCGCGACTGTTGAACGAGCCATTGAGTAGCGGCGGTCGCCAAACTGTTGTGCTTCCACTCCGGGAGCACCCTGCGGAGGAAATTTGGCCGCCGACGACCCATGGGTCGGACCCAAGGTGTGCAGAGCCGCCGAAGCTCGTGTACGGCATAAGGCTGCGGGAGGTGAAAGGCCTGGCGACGGTTCCGCAGCCGCCGGCCGAGGTGCCTGGGCCCAGTGATGCGGTGGCGAAGCGGCTGACGGAGAGCGCCGACCTTTCCGGGGCCGCCGCTAGACCGGCGGCGGTGGCTACGGGTACGGCAGCGGCAGCGGCGGCGCCACCGCCGAGGCCGTGCACCGCCAGCCTAGGAGATAGATGGCCCTGCCGCAGCGCTCGGCCAGATCTTCCCTTCGCACCGCCGCTGATCAGAGACTTCATTCTGTCGACAGCTCCAGTGGGGGTGAAGGGCGACGGTGTTGCGGATGTGATGAAGGAGGATGCCGTCGATGCCATGACGACGCCGTCGCCACCGGGATCCGTACACCCGGCCATACCGCTGACGCCGGTGGACATGGCGCCAGCGGCGGCTGCCGCCCCATCGACGCCGTCGACGCCCCCCTTCCTGGCGTCAGCACGCGGGCTGCCGCCGGCGCCGCATGCCTGCTGTTGTACGTCGGCGCTGACAGCTCTGGGCCGTACGGCAATCGGTTGACAGCTGGACAGCTCCAGAACCTCGGAAGGCCATCGACAGTTGGTTAACATTGCCTACAAGATGGTCCGCAGCAGGTATCCAACACAGGACAACACGTAGCGAAGAATGGGGTAAGGGTAGTAATGGCGGTATGATGAGCTGGGAGCGGCAGCGGCAGCGGCAGCAGCAGCAGTATGATACTGATACCAATATCAGGCAAAGTGATTAACATATCCTGCGAGAAACCACGTGCCATACCTGCATGTGCACACAGAAACAAACGGCGTCGTGCACAGAGGCGAAAATTAACGCCAGCCGTGTAGAGAGCTGACGCTGTGATGCCAAGGACGCCCCCCCCGCCGCCGCCCTGGCCGCCGCCATTGCCACTGCCAGCGCGCCGCCACCACGGGATGACAGAGGCTGGCTTGACGGTGCCGCCGCTGCCGCTACCGCCGGCGGCACAGCCGGCGATAGCTGTGACGATGCGCCAGCAAGCGTGGTGTACGGCATCGGCCGCAGCCGTAGCGGCGACAGAGCGTGCAGCTGCCCCAGCAGCGGCGTCGTCGGTGTCGACTGGGCGTGAGGAAGGATGCGACCAGCGTGCATGGCTGCAAGCAAGTCGTCGGAAACACCTCCCGATGTTGCGGCGGCGCCGCCGCCGCCGCTTCTGGGTCCCGAAACCGCCGCCGCCGCCGCCACCACAGCTCTATCAACTGTTGTCATTCCGCTGTCCGTAACGCCCTCCGGTAGGGTGGGCAGCACTGACGGTGAAGGCCAGGCGCCCGATAGGTACTGATGTCCCAGCACCTGACCTCCCAAAGTAAGACCTTGCCCCGGCAGGCCCGACAGACTCGCACCGTCCGAGTCCTGTAAAGGCCGGGGAATCTCGCCGCTGGATGTACAGTATTGTACGGTAAAGGGTGACTGCGGTAGGTGCGGCTCGGAGTTAAGGCTCATAGTCGCCCAGGGCCCGCCGCCGGCAGCGGCATTCGCGGCAACGGCGGCTCCAGCGGCAGCCTTCGTAGTAATTGTCGCCGAGGAGGGCAGCGGCAGTAGCATGTCAGAGAGATGTCCTGCAGATAGGTGTTCTTTACCAGTGGCAGGCTTGAATTGCTCCAGGAATAGCGCAGGGTTGGCTGTAGCAGAATGTTGGAGGTGCATCGAAGTCCAAGTTCGGTGTTGCTGCTGCAGCCCATCCGACGGCGGCGGCGGCGCAGTCTGCTGTACCATACTTAACTGATTTGCCCCAGGCGCTGCCCCGCCAGTGCCGCCGCCTCTGCCCCCGCCGTTGCTGCCGTCGCCGCCTCCCTCTCCGCCTCCACTACCGTAATGAACCATGTTTTGGGGTGAAACAGCGGCAGCGGCAGCGGTGGTGGCGGCAGCGGCGCCGCCGGGTGAAGTCATACAACCGTCTGCCGTCCTTTCAAGGCTGCCGCCCACGTCGATGTGCAAACTTCGTCCACTGAGTGCTCCAGCCCCACCAGCGCGTTTCCAGCTGGAATCCATGCTAGTCCCGTCACCGCCACCGTTACCTGCTGATCTCGTACAGTCAGTCGGTACGGCCCCGTTGGCGTCGGCACTTCCCAATGGCAGCTGTTGAGCCGCCGCCGCCGCCGCCGCCGCCGCCATGCTGGCCTCCGTCGACCCTCGACTGTTAAGCCCCGGTCGAGTCATCAGCGGATCAAACAAATGAAACCATGTGGCATGACGTTGAGATGCAGCCGCTCCTGTTGTACGGCAACTCACCAGAGGCGACGTCTGTCCTGATGAGTCCGTTACTGCCGCCGTCGTCGTCGCCGTCGCCGTCGGGACAATACATGTCGGAAGCGGCATCGGGGACAGTGGCGCACCGCCATCCGGCGTTCCGTCCTGTGCCATGCAAGACGAGAAGTTCGCAGCGGCAGCGGCGGTGGCGGCAGTAGCAGCGGCGATGGTTGCCTTGCCGTAGCCAGAAACGGCCCCCAGCGGCCCATCCAAAACTGGTACAACATCGGTGTTCTGTTGTTGAAGAAGCGGCGCGTCCAGATCACGAGACACCAGTGACAGGTAGCTACTTTCGTAACCCCAGTACGGCGGCCGCATCCGCCCGCCAGTGCAACTCTCAGGACCGAGGTCGTACCCGGCGCTACTGCATGGCCCACCGGCAGCGGCCGCCGCCGCCGCCACCGCCGCTGCTGCCTGATCTGCTGTGGACCCCCTCATCGCCGCTGCCAGAGCCGCCTGCAGAGCCGCTGCTGGTGACTCAGGCAGCCTGTCTCCTCCGACGCCATGTCGTACTGCCGCCGACGCCGACAGCTGCGGTGTTGCTTCATCGTGGGGTAGCGGCACGAGCTCCCCATCATACCGGCGCGCCAGCTGCTTGACCACATCGTGACATAACCGAAGCGCCTGCTCCCGTACTGTTTCCGGAAGACTCGGCTCAGAGAGACCCTGCACACACACGTACACGCACCCGCACAAAGGGCCCAAGCGAACAGGGGAGGATGCGCGCCCGTGCCGGGGAAAACCAACGGGTCACAGCCAGGTCAGGAAAAGCCATATCCCTCAGGCCATATCCCTCAGGCCTGTCAACGCGTGCCCTTTGTGTGAGGAAGGAAAACCGGCAACGTTTTCCCCCCTGTTCGATGAGCGATCGGAACAAGACAAGATCGGAAGGGAAGCCCGCCAGGAGCCCCGTCCGGGCACCAATCGCAATCCCTTCCCAATCGCCTCCACCATTGGCTATAGGAATATATCCCCAGGTTCCGTTTTTTCAAGTCCGAAACCCCCAAACCCGGTCAGAAAAGGGAGGGGGCCCAGTAGCCTTGTACGACGGACCCGTTATGCGCTCATGTAAGCGAATATGTGCACCTGAATGTCAAGTACGACATACGTTGCCGTATTGCGGCGGTTGGACGAGTCGTCGCCGCCGCTGCTGGTCCCGCGCAGCCGCCGCAGCGTACGGCGAGATTGCAGGATGACGCGCGCCGCCAGCAGTACGGCGCCGCCGCCAAGCCCCAGCGTTAGTCCGACAATGAGTTTGACACGTAAGCGCGATGACGATGGCTGCGCCTATCAAACCGAACGCAACAGGGGGTGGACGGGATGGAGCCCATTACGCGGTACAGGGTACACCCAGTGCAGGGAAGGCCACGCAAGGGCAAATTAAGTTCTAACAATTCTGAAGACGCCAAGAACAATTTTAAAATGTTGCCTAATCAGGAGACGGACCTTCATGCTTTATTTTGCAGCGTGAAGGTGCTCCGGGAGAAAAGGGAGCACAAGTCCATCGTGTGCCGTACGACATGCATGCGGCCCTGCAAAGCGTTACAAACCCCCCTCTTTCCCCCCTTTCATTCAACCTCTCCCCAAACCCCAAAATCTTCAGGAGCTCGACCCAGGTAAAACTTACCACCACTCGCTGAGTCAGCACCGGTTGACGGTACGACAGCGAAGCCCGGTACTCCGTACGGCGTTGTGCCGGCGACGGCAGCGCCGCTTCCAGCGCCGCCGGCAGCTTCCGTGACAATAGTGTCAGCGCCGCCGTCACCGCCGCCGCCGGCGTCTCCGGCGGCTCGTCGTCGGCGTACGGCAGGTTCGTGGAAGGCGTCAATGACAGCTGAGGTGAGTTGTACGGCGAGAGCTCCGCGATGGCCGCGTCAAAGTACGGCCTATTTTCATGCATTCAGGATGGAGCGAGAAAACTGGCGAGCGGAGCCGTAGGACGGTACCAAGCAAGTGGATCATGAAATGCCTCCCTCCGCAATCATGGGCCCCATCTCCACAATCGTGCCTCATTCTCCATTCTTCCCGCCCCTTTCTTCCCTTTCCACTCCTCCCCTTTTCATTCTTTCCGCCCTTTTCTTCCGGCCCATATCCATTTCTGCTCCCCCATTCGCCACTTACCAAAGGGTTTCAGCCCCAGGCACTCGCAGCGCTGGAGCCGCGTTCGGATGGTCCCACAGCCGCTCAGTTAGGTCAGCCAGGTCCAGGTCTTGCTGCGTAGCTGGCGCCACCATTACCGCACTGACCTGCTGCTGCTGCAATAGCTGCAGCGACGACGGTGAAGTCGACTCGAGGGGGGCGGTCGACTCATTTGTGCGGGTGGTCATCCGGTCCAGGCGGCGAAAGGGTGTCACACCTGGAGGTGGAGAAAGAGAGGGAGAAGGAGGTGGAGAAAAAGGGGAGACCTAAGTGGGAGCTTATTACGGGCAAGTGAGCTGACAGACATAATGACAGATATGTGTAGGCAGGTAGGTAATTAAGTGGGTAGGTTAATGTGCACGAAAGTCACACATTTTCCATTGCTTTCACATACACACCCTGACAGTTATACATACAAACGGGGCGGAGAATATAGATAGTGGGACAGAATGAATGATTAAACGTTCGGTGTTCGGCTTTCGGAGCCCCTTGCAGTAGACCAGCAATTATTAGGAAGACCACCACACCATCACCGTCTCCACTACCATCATCATCACAATCATCATCATCGTCTCCACCATCACCACCATTTCCACCATCACCATCACTACCATCTCCACCATCACCCCCCCCCCAAGTCCAACATGCAATAACCGGGCGCCAACAAGCCCCCTGGACCCCGCTGTCTGGGAGCGACACCGGATGGCCTCTCCATTGGCATTGATTTCTCCTGGACCCAGGTCCCGGCAAAGACACCGTCTTCGCTAAGGCCCTCCCCTCTACCTCCCAGCTGGCCGTGTTCTAGGTTTCCCTCTGCCCTGCCCAGCTATACATCCGCCCTGCTCAATTCCTTGTTGACGAGTTCCAGAGCCAGTTTTGCTTGTAGAGCTACCTAGCGGTTCTGTTAACTGATGGTTTCGAGTTCGATTCTCACTGAGAACTTTTGAGAGGTCAAATTTGCCAACGATATCTCACAACCCACGCTGACCTGACGTCGGGTCCCTGGCCAGAATCTCTTGGACTGGAGCTGATCCAAGCATCGACAGGAGCCGTGCAGCTGCGGCGCGCGAAGCCGCCGGCGAAGCTGCGTTGATGCCGCCGACAGGGTTGGCGTACACCAGCGGCGCGACGTTGACGCTGCCGGCGGCGGCGGCGCCGCCGCCACCACTACGAAACAGTGCGGAAGTCAGAGCGCTCACCCAGCTGCTGCTGTACGTGGCGGCAGACTTTATGTCGGACAACGGCGACGCGTAAGGGCAAGACGACGCCGTACACTCCTCCATGATGCCGTACAAGCCCCGGTCCACTTGGGTGCTACCAGGGAGCATCATGATGCGAGTGCTGTACACGACATTCTTATCCCCCCCTGGCCATACGTAAGCAGCCTGCAGCAGCACAGCACCATCACCAGCAGCAGCAGTAGTCATGTTGCAGCTGCTGTAGCAGCTCCCGCAAAAGCAGCATGGTAATATAATTGTACACGGCACGCAATAATGTCGTGTTCACAGGAAATGGACTCACGCATGCCAAACACCATGCCCCGCTTTCGCCCACGCATCCCTGTCGCCTTCATTTTCTCCTGACTTGCGGTATTCTGACTTGCTTCCCTTCCGTTATCCCTCTCCCCTTCCGTTATCCCTCTCCCCTTCCGTTATCCCTCTCCCCTTCCGTCATCTTTTTTAACGGGGCAAGACAGCAGACGGAAACTCGCCTTGAGGTGCGACAGCCCGTGAATGGCAAATGCGCACCGCCCCTCCGCAAACGCAGCCGACAGCCGTCGACATGTCGATGACCGTGCTGACGTTGACGATGATGGTGCAGCTGCGGCGTCAACGCCGTCACTGGTGGTGACCGATGTCTGCGATAATGGCGCCGAGTACGACAGCAACCGCTGCAGCGTCCATATTGCACTCCGAAACCCTGGGCTGTTAAGGCGCCAGGCCATGGATGAGGGATCAATCAGGACGCCGTGGCTGGCCCCGTGAGTCTGTAGGTAGGATGCTGCAATGCCCTGAAGCAGCGCTGGTGCTAAACAACCTGCCGGCAAGGCGACACAGCAGCATGAGCGTGTGAAAACAAAGCTACATACATACGTACATATGTACACACGTAAATAGGTTGGCGGCAGCGCTACATCCCCCTTGGCTGTCAACTCAACTGGGTGGCTGCCTTGTGTATCCAGGCCTGAGTCGGGGGAGGGGCACAGAAAACTGCTGGGGGACCTTCCCTGTGTATCCTGTTCCCCCGTCTCTCTCACTCTATTTTTTGCCCCTGGCGTTTTCCGTTTGCATTGTAACCTTCGCCATACAAACATATGCACAGACAAGCATATGTTTTCTCCACGAATCAGCCAACAACGTTTGTCTGCACTCGAAAGGACGCTTCCGAAAGGACGCTCCCTAGTCTGACCTAAGCGTGCATATTCTTGCCCTCGCCCTCGCATTCACCGCTCTGGTCATGTGTTATCGTTCCGTAGCTTCCCCCCTTAGGTAGGTATCTTCCAATCCGCCGCATTCTCATTCGGCCCCAACTGCACGACCCGGAATGCCAATGACCGCGATTCCCCACAGCCCGATCCATTCGTCACAGGCTTCTAAAGGTAGGTTCACGCCTCGGCTCATGGCGTCTCAGCCCCAGATGTCTAGGCCTCCTACAGCCCGCAGCTCCGTGACTCACTGCTTGGCTGCATCCTGTTTGCGGGTGCTTGTGCGGGCCTTCATGCTGTATGGTATGGACAACCCTGGATATGGAATTGGAAAGTTGTTGTCTCCACTTGGATACTTGATCCCCATTCATGACTCGTATGGGCTGGTATAAGGTATAAGGTATATGGTATAAGGTATATATTTATATACCCCATGACTGCCTAATCTGCCTAATTCGGCCTGGGGGCCCTGGCCCGTGGGCCCCTTCAGGGCTCGCATGGGGCCCCAGGTTACACCTTTAGAGGGTCATGCAGCTCCAGAAGGTGGCGTAACACACACACTTGATGGTGGGACACAACGCTCAATGCGGGGTTTGCGTGGACGTTAGAGTGCGGTACGACATAGTCCCCTTCACAGGCGGCGATATGAAGAACGCGATGGAGCAGGAAACTCTCGGATGCCGCTTAGAGGGTCGCTGATATCCGGGCAAGGCGTGTCCTTGGCTATGTAGGGTCTCCTCCTCACTCTTCGGCTAAGTAGGGTGGTGGTTTCCTCCCTCTTATTTTCCTGTTTTCCCTTTCCTTGTTTTATTTGGCTGTCGACATGATCTTGCATGGTTTGGTTTAGGGCCCTCTTTACTGCCCCCCCACCGCGTGCCATCCATCCATCCATCCATCCAGACAGACAGACACCACTTGTCATCCTCCCTCAATATGAGGGCTTGGACGTTTCCTAGCAACCCGATCGAGCTGTCTTCAAGGCAGCTGTGGCAGTGATAGCGGTCGGCAGCCGCCACGGCGGCGGTGACGGCCGTGGCGGAGCCAGTGCACCTACCCTACCTGGAGCGACCTCGAGGCATATGCCGTACTCGACTACACCGTCGCCGTCGAAATCCGTACCGTTGACAGCCGCCGCTGCGTCAATCAATTGCTCCCACGTCCACACTCGCGGCAACAGCAACGGCAGTATTGAACCATCCTCCTCGGACAGCCTGCTGCTACTGCTGCTACTGTCGCCGCTATCGCTATCGTTGCCGCTACTGCTACTGCTACTGCCGTCGCTACTGCTGCTGTTGCTACCGCTCCCAACGGGTGCACCCACTTGCAGCCCCAGCCGCCGCCGCATGCGCTCATCACCGTAGAGCTGCCACAATGCTTTGTGATTGCCGTACAGAACGAGCGTGTTGCTCCCTAACGGTATTCCTGCCGTCAGGTATCGATACGACGTGCCGTACCGCCGTACCTGCGGCTGTGCCGTAGCCTGGATCTCAACAAATGCTGCAGTGTCGAGCAGCGGTGCTGGCGGCGCAACGGCACCTCTCTGCACGAGACCACCCAGGAGCTCCGAATCCAGAATCCATGCATCGTACGACAGTACGAGCTGCTGCTGCCAGTCGGAAGTGACGTCAAACCCGAGTGATGTCGCTGAGGTTGCGGCGTTGCCGCTACTGCTGCTGCTAGTTTATAGATACGGTGTTGGTGGCGACGGTGGCGGTAGCGCCCACAAGGAAGGGCGCCAAGTGACTTCAATGTGGTTTAGAATGTGGACAGTGTTTCATGGTGTATGGTGTAAATCCCAGCAAATGGCAAGCAAGATATGCAGCAAATACGGATACTACGTTGCTATGTATGGTGCCCTTGTGCTGGGAGAGGGTTGGGCACCAGGGATTACACTACAGCATTGCCTTGCCCTCCCCTTTGCAGTTCCCTCCCAGCATCACCCATCCACCAGCGTACGGCAGTCTTTCAACTTGGATCCGAAACCACTTACGTGACATCCCACGGCGTCACATGGACTGTCCAGCCGGTCTCGGTTTTGAAGCGAGCCAGCACGGCAGTCGGCAACAGCACTGGGGCGCTGACCAGCAAGTCCAGCTCCAAACCCTGCGTTTTTTGTAAGCCGCACAGAGTTTCTGATTAAAAGGCCATCAACCAAACCAGCAGACAAACGTTACCCGAGCATGAACGTGCTTGCAAACCCGCGGGAAGATATGGCATGTGGCGTGTGGACCTAGGGGGCTGAGACGGGAATGATAGACCCTCTGCCTGGGCACATCATCACAAAGTAACAAAGATTTGTGAATAGGAAAACGGACACGTCAGCAGACAGCATGCAGAGCACCACTAAGAGGCGGGCTGGGCTTTGCTATATCCTACATTCCCCTCTTGTACACGGCGAAGCGATAGCCCGGTAATGGACACTTCCTTAAAGAGGGACGCGGTGCTTCAAGACGGGTAGGAGACAGAACGCTTAAAAGATCTTTCAGCAGCCAGCTACTAAGCGTTTACAGTTTGGAGACTCGGGAACATGTACATGGAACTGGATCGAGAACCAGAGGTGCGCCACACAGAGGAACACACATTACGTGGTGCTGTAGTTACAGAGGCGGGTTATTGGGTGCGTCGGGTAGGTAAGCAGCAGCTGGGCAGTACTAATGGCAGATGATTGAATCCCGAAGCCTGAAACAAACAAAGTTGCGGTGCGGGCATGTAGATGCAAACCTAGCTGGTTCCCCTTGGATGGCATACCAACCTGGGTCGCATTATCCAGCTGGTTGCAGTCCACGTATTGCCGAATAGCGTCTCTGTATAGTGTGCTGTTAGGTGCTGCTGTGCAACTGCAAGCATTCATGCAGGGACCGTTCAGTGCCCCCTTAAATGACAGAGGCCCTGACAGTCGTTACATATTGTCCTATAAAGTGTACAAATTGTTAGTTATTGCATGTGAGAAACCAAAAAGAGAGAAGCAGTCAAATGGAGTGGATAGTCGACCGACGCACAGCCGAGAGAACAAGGATCGCAATCATGCTAACGGCACGAAATTGAGAACGAAAGAACTAAGTTAGCTGCCACAGTGAAATGTTATACCGGTACTTCCGTTTGGAAACTTTGGCCTTTCCCTTTTGCGCATGAGTAACAAGTATTCTACAAACCTGTTTCTTGAGTTGAACAGCAGGAAGTCGACACATGGCGTGTGCTCAGCAGCACAACAGGTGAGAAGTGCGGCAAGAAGGAAGACCCGCAAGCCAGCTCGAGCCCGAACGCCGCGCGGTACTCCACGCCTCATTAGTACAAAGCTATCATATTGTCGGTACTAGTGGTTTACCAGGGAATGCAATCCTTCCACGGCCAGCCGATAGCGAGTGGCATTGGCTAAAAAGCAAGCTTGACATTCCCTCCTATTCATATCACATCAAGACCTAATGCTATGGAGACCGGCAACTGCAGGTAATGGTAAGGCTTAAGGGAGCTGCAAATACATTACAGCGAGCTCGAACTCCTGTAACAAGGCTAAAAGACAAAACATTTATCACGTAGGCTATGGGATACGGTAACAACTGTTAACTGAGCAATGCCAAAGCAGTGCGTAAGAAGTGTTAGACATAGGTTGTACGGCAAAAGCCTCAGAGCACAAGCCTTGTTCCTCAACTTAAGCTACCCATGGAACTCTGAAACCGCTCCCAGGTCTAGACCGCTGCCAAGTTAACAATTGAGTAGCAAGGTAGCAATTCCCAACTGTCCTTCTTAATAGTCGGTCGAAGTGAAGGCAAAGCATGCTTTCTTTCATAGAGTTTACAGAGGAGAAATATGTGGGATTTGGATGTGGCGTTCCGACAGCAGCAGTAGGTGCAAAACAACTACCTGTGCCAGCGGCACCTTGATGTAATGGAAAATGGTTTATTCGTTTACAGAATTGTGGTGAGGGAAATTTGATCATGAGGATAGTGCTATGGTGGCATAAAAGAGTTTGTGTTCGTTGTCGGCGATAACGTTTCGAGTACTAGTACCGACCATAGCTCCATAAGGTGCAAGTTTACTTCACTCTGAGCCGTCTATGTGTTAAAAGTAATATGATTTGATTCTTTTATCGGAATTCTCAGTGCTGCTTTCAATATCTCTGAGTGCTTACTTGGGCAGGCACGATCCGCACGCCATTGGCGGACGGCCTTGGGCAACAGTGGATATCGCTACATTCGCCGCAGGACCATTAGAAATGTGTAATTGTCGTGTGTATTGAAGACATCTCCCGAGCTTAAACTTCTTCCGGTGGATATGTTCAACTTGTGTAGATGTTCAGGTCTAAACAAAGAAAACCTCTTGGGAACTACTGCGGCTTCTCCCATCCGAGCATACACAGAGATAGGATGGGAGCTGCGTGGTTAGGAAGCCGCACGAAGCTCACAACTGCATCATGACACATATGCTTCGGCATCGCTCATCTGTGCGCAGGAGCACCAAGGAAGAAATGTTACGGTGGTCAGGAGGCAACGAATGACGGGGAAAGCGTTGGTTTAGAGGTGCCCCCCACTCGTTTGGCAGCCGCACGGCAGCGGCCGTACATGCGCTTCACAGCTCGCACGTGGAGCCTCGCCTGCAGTGCATTGGCGACGCTAACGTAGTCCAAAGCAAGTAATGTAGCGCGATTCCGTTGTATCCGTAGCACATCCTCACATCACGGTAATAATCATCACAACGAGCGGGACCTCTAAAGACTGGATGCCCTCATCAGTGCCGTCCAGACCAACTCGCCAGTGGGCCATGCATGTCCGATCTTGTCAGTTTAAAGTTAAAGTTTAAGGTTAAAGTTAAAGCCCAATCACCCACAATGGGCCACGCTGGCAATGCAGTGTTCTAAACGTCCCACTGCCGTAGGATTATCGTATATCGTCAGTGCCATCAGAGATTGCGGCTCCACACACAGCGGACATGCTGTCGTGCGGCATAGCGTTGATGGAAGGTTCCAGGATCGAGATCATCATAAACACAGGATACCTATCAATCATTAGAAGGTCCATCTGTTGGATGCACGCTCACGTTGATGGGCGGTGATGGAACCGGTTATACAGACCGGCGAGTGGACCACTAGTAGTGGGGAGTTGACGCCGCCGCTGGCAGATGGATGCTGGATGCTGGTGGTGGTGGTGGTGGTGGTGGTGATGGTGATGGTGGTGGTGGTGGTGGTGGTGGGTGCTGAACCCAGAAAAATCACTGACTTCGCAAAAATCGAAATGGGCGAGAAGGATGAGGTTGGTGCTCCGAGTACACCGCGGGGGGGAGGCAGCTAGGGACTGCCAGGCTGATGGCACGGGTGAAGCTATACCCTCCTACCTCACAGAATCATATTTGTTCATCGGCCTTGTCCCAACGGGCGCCACTGTTGTGCGTTTACATGTGCGTATAAACGCATTGTCATTCGTCTTCTGATAGGCCGACGACGCAGCTTTTCCAGTGCCTATAACCCCGCCAGCTTTCACACCCGCGTTCAAGGAAGGTGGTGGGAAGAAGCTAGAGCCTTGAGCTGTGATCACCTTTCAGGTTGCGGATCCCCGCGGCACGAAGGGGCCCCTGAGGCCGCCTCGCTCGCTCGCCTTGGTTGGCCACCAGGGTTCGACACCCCGTACGGGGCCCGTAAGTTTTTGGCCTTTTTTCGGTATCCCCGTCAGGGCCCGTAGGACTTTTCGGTGGCTCCCGTAAGGATTTTGGGGCGCGAAGCGCCCCGTACGGGGCCGGCCCCGGACCGGCCGAAGGCCGGTTACAGTGGCTCCCGTAAGGATTTTAAGGATTTATAAGAGGCCGTACGGGGCCCTGTAGGGGAGAGGACGGACCATATAAAGGATGGAAAGCCTGCAAGCCAACCTGTTCCCACAAAGAAAGTAGATGATAAGCCTTTTTGACGTTAGCAAAATTAATTTGAATCCATACGGAGAGGATGATAATGAGGAGGTTGCGACTGACCCAGAGATTGAATTACTGGTACAAGCAACATACCCCGCTAGTGACGATGAGGCTTTTAGTGACAGTGACTACGAGGCCGACGTAGAACGAGATACCGATGAGTCGTGCGTGTTTGAGGATTTTGATGATGATGAGGATTAGGAGGACGAGAAAATGGAGCAGAAGGGATGGGCGGCCGCGGCGGCCAAGGCGCTTGGCTTTCGCTGAGTGTGCCGTGTCACTGAGTGTAATGGTTCACGAGAAAATAACGATTTACAGGGCAAAAAATTGCAAAGCGTCACTTTCCACAGCGTTTCAGCCAAGGACAGTGCCCCCGTAAAGGTTTTGCGGGGGTTACGGGGGCCCCCATAAGGTTTTCGGCCGGTACAGGAGCCTGGTACGGGGGCCCCTCCGTAAGGAAAATTTGGGAGGTACGGGGGAGCCCGCAAGTTTCAGGAAGTTCAGTGTCGAACCCTGTTGGCCACCTTCTTGCCTGCACGCACCCCGACTGCTGTGGTGGCTGCGGTTGCAAAAAGCACACGCACTTAACAGCCACCAAACGCTGGTATTTCCAACATATGATTTTTGTAGTCTCTGTTCGACTGTATTTTTTTGTGTGTGTGCGCTGCATGGTCGTGGGGTGCGTTCCCCGTATCTGCAACCACCCCAATACGAGCCGAGGGATCAAGGGCTGCAAGATCGCCTATAAGCACCGTCCTACCTCGCACTGCAGACAAGCAAGTGGTAAAGGATACCAACGACCAAAGGGACCGATAGAGTTGCGGTGGGACCACATACGTTCCAGCATCGTTGCCAGACGTTCAGGTTCCCACTTCATATCGTCCTTCATATGCTTTAAATGTCTAAAAAGTGTGAAAGGCTTGTTTTTGCATGTGATGGCACCCAGCAGTCGGAACTTAGCAAGAGATGTCAGCAGTTACGGCTTTCAGGCCAGGTAATACCTGCCAAAGATAGCGCTCGCTATCTGGGCCTGGTATACGGGCCAGAACGGCCTTTTAGTGCGTGCCGTCAGCAGTTATGTGATACAGGTCGGTCCCCTATGTTTTCCTTAAGCGCAAAGCTGGACAAAATTAAGCTGTTTGCCCCCGACGTGCAAATGCGGTGCTTTGCAACTTAAGTCCGAGCAATTCTTGTTGTATGGCTGCCAGGCGTGGGGCCCTTTTGCGCTGGGGACAGGGCGGGAAGGCGGCGGGATAAAGCCAACCTTACAGAGGGCATGTTCTAAGCCTGTTTGAAGGACAGCGCAGTCGAGCTGCAGATTTTATTCATGAGGCAGGTAGTGGGGGCGGCACGGCCATCCCATAGGCTGTTGTATGTATGTTGTTACAGGGTGGTTAACTTCGCCAGCGGCCCCCTTTCCCGGGGCAGTCCCTGCTCTCCCCTGCTAGAGGGGCACCCTAATCCGTCACCCCATCCTACTTCAGGATGTATTTGTTGGGTTCGGCAACTCACCACCAGCATCCAACCAAATCTTGCGGATCAACGGCGCATCAACTTAGTTCCTGGTCAGCTCGCAAGTTGATTTTATCACGGCCTACATCGTCCATGAGATGGGGCCCCACCTCCCAATTTGACACTCCTCAATCACCTGAGGAATTGGCAGGCAGATTTGAACCCGGGTCGGCCGGGGGCAGAAGTCAGGCCTTAACCTCTGCCAGCCGCCTGCCTAGGCTGTTATATGTATGTTGTTACAGGGTGGTTAACTTCGCCAGCGGCCCCCTTTCCCGAGGCAGTTCCCTGCTCTCCCCTGCCAGAGGGGCACCCTAATCCGTTCACCCCATCCTACTTCAGAACGTATTCGTTGGGTTCAGCAACTCACCACCAGCATCCAACCAAATCTAGCGGATCAACGGCGCCTCAAATTAGTCAGTGGGGGCGGCACGGCCATCCCATAGGCTGTTGTATGTATGTTGTTACAGGGTGGTTAACTTCGCCAGCGGCCCCCTTTCCCGGGGCAGTCCCTACTCTCCCCTGCTAGAGGGGCACCCTAATCCGTCACCCCATCCTACTTCAGGATGTATTTGTTGGGTTCGGCAACTCACCACCAGCATCCAACCAAATCTTGCGGATCAACGGCGCATCAACTTAGTTCCTGGTCAGCTCGCAAGTTGATATTATCACGTCCTACACCGTCCATGAGATGGGGAGCCACCTCCCATTTTAACACTCCTCAATCACCTGAGGAATTGGCAGGCAGATTTGAACTCGGACACTCCTGGAGCAGAAGTCAGGCCTTAACCTCTGCCAGCCGCCTGTCTATGCCGCCTGCCAGCCGCCTGCCTATGCCGCCTGCCTATGCCGCCTGCCAGCCGCCTGCCTGGCTATGCCGCC